TTTTTTATTGTTGAAAAAAAGATATAAAAATTTATTATTATTATTATTTTAAAACATTTTTACAAATAACAACAATTTGGTCTAACAATGTCTCAAATGTCTTACTAAACAATTCAATGGGTAAGTACTCGAGGGGTATAATACCCAATACCTTAGTCCTGTCCAATACTGTTTGTATGGCCTGATTGAAGGCCTGGCCTATCAATTGAAAAAATTCAGCAAATACTGTACCGACTTGTTTGGGCGCCTCCTCGGCTGTCAATTGTTTGCCAACAATATCCGATAGTTTATAGGTAACCGGTCCGAAATGTTTGTCCAACAATGGCTTACCCTTACGTTTCATACCCGCCAATAGTGGCTGAAATACCGTATGTATTGTTTGGCCAATTTGTTTGAACAATTCGCTGACCAGTTTGACAGCCGTTGCAACTACCGGTGCTTTCGGGGCCAAACGTTGTTGAAATACTTGGGTATCGTCGCCAATATCACGAATTATTTCGGCAAAATCATGGCCAATGGCAAACAATAGGTCATCGGCGGGTATTTTACTTAATCGATCGAAAAATTGGGTAAACATTTTACCAGTAGATTCCATTCCGGGTTTATTTTTCTGGACAATATCATTGAAACCGTTTCGCTTATTAATAGCCACCAAATCAAATTTGATTGGTTTAGTAGCTATTGGGTGTATAAATAAAACAATTTAGTTGGTATATTACATTGTATTATATTATTTTTGTATATTTTTTTAAATATGTATCATTAAAATTTAATTTAAAAAAAATAAAACTATTAATTATAGTAAAAATCTAAAATAACTAAAATCAGCCTGCTAAATATTTGCTTAAAAATATGTATTATTAGTTTATTAGTTTATTATATTAAATTACATTATAGTAAATATACTGTATATATACTCCAATATAGTACAATATATTGTTATAGGTAGTCAAGGCCATTTCAATATTATACTGATTAATGTTTTAAAATAATAATTATTTCAATACAAAAGAGATTTTTGTTTGTTTAAATTTACTAAAGTGAATTTAACACAACTCTTAGTTTTATTTTTATTTAAATAATTATATTTGCAAACCAAGGTTTGTTTAATGCTAAAATCTACAATTCAATCTTAAAATGCATTGAAATGTTATATAGAAAAGTGAATGTAAACTCCTACTTTTAAGTAAAGTTTTATTTTATTTTTATTTAGTATTTCACTGTTAAAATAATGCATTGAAATGTTATACAGAACAGTGAGTAGTAAACTCCTACTTTTAAGCAAAGTTTTATTTTATTTTTACTCTGTATTTCACAGTTAAAATAATGTATTGAAATGTTATACAGAAAAATGAATAGTTTACGCCCAGGGATTAAAGCTGACTCAATACGACCTGATTATTTTTCACGTACACTTTAGTATAAATAGAGGTGTCTCTCAGACACCAAATCAGTTCTCTTCGGAGTTCTCTTTGGAGATCTCTTTCGAGAGTTCTCTCCCGAGAGTTCTCTTGGAGTGCTACAGTGTATAACTGACTCTAAGAAGAAATAAAGTATTTGCATATTACTTTGTGTCTATTACTTACTCGTCGCGGCTGGTGGACTTGGATTGCATCATGAATTACATTATAGATGTTATACTGATGGAAGCTGACCACGATTACATCATGGATAAAATTATGGATTGAGTCATGGAAATAAACCATGGATTACGTCGCGGATGACATTATGGATCACGTATGGGTTCACTACAGGCCCAACGGTTCTACAGGCTACAGTTAACATAATGGACAGCTATCGAACGCCGCGCCGATGGAAGTCGACCATTAATTACGTAAGCGAATACTATTTAGAGGGGAACTCCGGTACTGTGTCCGCTACACGGTAGGATCTGACCGGTCCGACCAAAGACTAGTGTTGACACGTGACGACGTTGAGTAAACCTTATTATTGGGTAACCTATTATATGGTATGCAAAAGTAAGCGCAATGATAGGTTAGCTCAGATATAGTAATAAGTGACTAGACACATTAGTCTACTGTCAGACTGACCAACTGGCCAACCATTGGACTATAACAGGTTAGGCCCACTGACCCGGGTAGGTCCACTGACCCGGTTAGGCCTAATGACCCGGGTTGACTCAGTGACCCGGTTAGGCCCACTGACCCGGTTAGGCCTAATGACCCGGGTTGACCCAGTGACCCGGTTAGGCCCAGTGACCCAATTAGGCCCAGTGACCCAATTAGGCCCAGTGACCCAATTAGGTCCACTGACCCGGTTAGGCCCGGTGGCCGGTTTGGCCCAGTGACCCGGTTAGGCCTAATAACCCGGGTTGACCCAGTGACCCGGGTTGACACAGTGACCCGGTTAGGTCCAGTGACCCGGGTTGACCCAGTGACCAGGTTAGGTTCACTGACCCGGGTTGACCCAGTGACTCGGATGACCTACTGACCAGGGTAGGCCCACTGACCTGTCCAGACCTACTAACCTGAATAGGCACGCTGATTTGTTCAGTACCGTACGGTAGTATTATACGAATAGTTTATGCAAGGACCAGCATAGACTAAAACAGTCGGTCGACTGTATACTACCCAAATCAACACATATAGCTCTGCACACAACCAGTGATAGGAGATCCGCTCGCTCCTTAAGCCACATACCGTTATAGTAATAATGCTGGTACGTGCAGGGCAACGTAAGGGCTTAATCTTTAAGCAATAGTAGGGTTTACATCACGGGTTAGTGAGCGCTTATAGTGTTCACATATAAAATAGACCCGTGATAACCCCACTTCCCTTGCAATATTAATAAGTTATGATATTTACAAAAAAAATAAGCAAAACAATTATTTTACTTAAAGTATATTTTTTTAATAATTGAGTAAAATTAGAAATTATAATAATAAATTTTTTTATTAACATATTACCTTGATAGCTACCCGATAATTGTATTGCAAATAAAATTAAAAATCCAATTGATTGTAGATTTTTTTACATTATTATTATTATAATAATTTTTTATAACAAAATATTTATTAAAAAAATTTGTTTTGTATATAAAAGTTTTATTATTATTCAAATAATAATATGTATAATATAATCGTAAAATATTTTTTTTATTTTAATAAATCTATAACAATATACTATCATTGAATATAAGTTGCGTATCTTTATATACTTTATAATATCTATATATTGTATAAGTAGTTTCAGTGGTTTTTCAAGTAAAACTATATGATAGAGTTGATATAATAAAAAAGTACATATAGTTAACTAGATTAAAAAATTAATAAGATTAGTGTTTATTGGAATTTTTTTAAAAACTGACCAGTAATTTTTAATATAGACATAAAAAATAAATATAACATATGTAATTAGATATATATATAAACAATTTTTATTTATTTAATCAAACTAAATTTTTCAACTATAATATTTTTTTTCTAGAATAATGTTTATTATGTTAAACTTGATAACAAAATATTGGAAATAATAGAGATAAAAATATATATATATTACTTAATATCTTAAATTTTAAAAAACTAAAACTTGAAAAATAAATATTTATGAATAATTTTTAATGAAAACAAATTATAAAACATTTATTTAATATATATTTTTTGCATTAATAATAATAATTGGCAAACCTATTTTGTATGAACTATTTCATATTAATTTTTTAAATTTGTAAAAAAAACTATCACTCAGTACTTTGTCTCCGATTTGAATATTAATGTTATCTAAGTGTACAATATATACATATATTATATATTATACAATTAGAAAACATTAATATTCATAGCAATTTACGAATCATGATTTTTTAAATTAAACTAAAAAAAAATTCTTTATCATTATAACTAATTATTATTAAAAAAACATTTTTTTCCTATTATTTAAATACTAATACATTAAATTTTTATTAAAAAAAAATAATTTACAAGAGGAATTTTTACTTTAATTACTAAATGTTATTATTAAATTATTATTTTAATTATTATAAATTATTAAATTAAATATTAATTATTAAATTAAATTAATGGCATAATATTGTAATATTTTTTTGTATTTTTTACAATCTAAAAATGTATAATTAGTTAAAACTCAATTAAATTAATTAAACTTTGCAATTAAATTAAAATGTTATATATAAACTAAATTAATAAAATAAAATAATTGTTTAGCTATTGCTTCAAATACAATTTAAATTTTTTTTTTATTATAATTATAATTTTTTCGTTTTATATAAAATATTAAGTTGGGATAAAAGTTAAAATTTTAATATTATTCAAATGATTTTACAAAAAAATAAATAAATAACTTTAATATTACAGATTAAATATGATTTATTGAAAATATCTAAATGAGTTTAATAGTTGATAGTTAATAAAAATTACTAACAATTATATATTACTCTAGTATACAGTAATAAAGTAGAAAATATAATTGTTTTACAATAATTTTTTTTATAATTAATACAGAAAATATTTTTAATAAAATATAATATTAATTTATATTAATTAAAAAAATAACTAGAATTTATTATATAATATTAACATATTTTTATAATATACAGAGGATATAAATTTTAAACATATATATAAGTTATATATTTATAATTTTATTTGTAATCAACATATCAGACATAAATATTACACAACAAAAATAATTAATTAATATTTAGTTTTCTAGAAAAAGTTAAAATAATTTTATTAATATATAGTTAGCCTTTAATCAGGTAGTTATATGTCTATGTATTTAATTAATTAATATAATAATAATTTTTAAAAAATCAAATTGAATACATAATAGTTAATATTATACTAAAAAAATACTAATATAACAATAAATAATAATCAATTTATTTTATCAATAATAATAATAATAATAATACAAAATAGTCAATAAATATAAAAATAAATAATAATAATATTAAAAAACATTATATTGATATTATTGATATTAATATTTTAGGGGTGATTCAAATATTATGTTCGCATTTGAGGGGAGGGGGTCTACCAAAATTTTTTTAGAGGTTGTGGAGGTAGTTGGGGGGGTAGCTTAGCGGGTAGTTAGGGACATGTTAACGTTATTTTTTAAAAAAATTGCAAACACAGGGGAGGGAGGGGTTATAGATTTCTTTTTAAAAAATGTGAGAACGTAATATGTGAACAGCCCATTAAAATTATTTAAATATCTTTAAATACACCGATAATTTGATTCAACAATAGGTCCAGAGTTTGGCCAAACAATTGGATGGGTATATACTGTGGCGGTAGTATACCCAACACCTTAACCCTATCCAAACTTTTCTGAATGGCCTGATTGCTAGCCCGGCCTAACATACCGAAAAATTCGACAAAAACGGACAACCATTTCGGCGACTGCTCGGGTGTCAGGAGTTTACCGATATTTGTGGACAATTTGACCTCGACCTGACCCAAACGTTTATCGTACAGCGGTTTACCTTTACGTTTCTGGCCAACCAATAGTACGGAAAATGTAGTTTTAAATGCCTGTCCTATTTGTGTAAACAGACCGCTGGCCACCTTAACAATGGCCGCTACTTGGGGCGATTTTTTAGCAAATTCACGTTGAAATGCGTCCATATCGCGACCAAAATCGGTAATTACCGAACTCAGATCATCGCCAATGATAAACATCAGGTCATCGATGGGCGCTTCGCCGAAACGGTCGAAAAATTCGTTCAACAGTTTACCCATTAACTGGAGATCGGGTTTCAATTTGTCGGCAATTGTGCCGAAACCGTGTCGTTTAAGCAGCGAATAGATGTCAAAGTTTACCGCTTTTGTGTCTAATAGTGTAGAGGTATAGGTGTTTGTGATGTGATAAGAGAGAGAGAGAGAGAGAGAGAGAGAGAGAGAGAGAGAGAGAGAGAGAGAGAGAGAGAGAGAGAGAGAGAGAGAGAGAGAGAGAGAGAGAGAGAGAGAGAGAGAGAGAGAGAGAGAGAGAGAGAGAGAGAGAGAGAGAGAGAGAGAGAGAGAGAGAGAGAGAGAGAGAGAGAGAGAGAGAGAGAGAGAGAGAGAGAGAGAGAGAGAAAGAGAGAGAAGAGAGAGAAAGAGAGAGAGAGAGAGAAGAGAGAGAGAAAGAGAGAGAAAGAGAGAGAAAGAGAGAGAAAGAGAGAGAAAGAGAGAGAAAGAGAGAGAAAGAGAGAGAAGAGAGAGAGAAGAGAGAGAAAGAGAGAGAAAGAGAGAGAAGAGAGAGAGAGAGAGAGAGAGAAAGAGAGAGAAAGAGAGTGAGTGAGTGAGTGAGTGAGTGAGTGAGTGAGTGAGTGAGTGAGTGAGTGAGTGAGTGAGTGAGTGAGTGAGTGAGTGAGTGAGTGAGTGAGTGAGTGAGTGAGTGAGTGAGTGAGAGAGAGAGAGTATGAGTGAGTGAGAGAGAGTATGAGTTTGTAATAAATAATAATAAATGTAAAAATTGATGAAAACATTTTTATTAATAATTATTTAATTTAATTTAATTTAGTTATTATTTTAAATATATAAATTTATATATATATATATATATAAATATAAATATTTGATAAAATTAATAGTATAGTAAAGATTATATATATTAAATCTAAGTAAAATAAATATTAAACATAAATTATATATTAGTTTATATTTAGTTTTTAATAAATTTAATTAATTAATAACATATTACCTTGATGGCTTACTGAAAATTGCATTGTAAATACAATTACAAATACAATAGCTAGTTGTGTTTTAAACATTTTAATTAAGTTTTTAAAATAAATTATATATATATTTTCCAAAAAAGTAACTGATTTTTATTCAAGTTTTAATTTTGAACTAATAATTAAAATATTAATATAAAATAATAAAAGTTAAACTTAGTATACATTTACTTATATAAAACTAACTTATAATATAAGCTTTATATTTATATATTAATGATATTTTTTTTGTAAAATTATACAAATCATGATTTTATTTTAAATTAAAAAATAGTTAGTCATTATTATAAAATATGATAAAATTATCAATACTTTTAAGTTAGCAATATATGTAAAATCATTTAATTTTGTAATAAATTTTTATGTGTTTTTTTAGTGTCTAACTGCAAAATTATTTTTATTTTATTTAATTAAGTTTTTTTTAATTAATTATATATTTTTAATTTAACTAAATACTAAAAATTTAATTTTTATTAATCAAATAAATAGATAAATAAAAATATTTAAATATAATTAAACATTCAATTAATATAATAACTATAATAATATTTTATATAATGTTTATATAAAAATTTTATAATTATTAATTAAAACAAATATTTATTAAACAAACATTAAATAACAGTTTATATTATGTTTACTTTTTTAAATTTTCATTTTTTATCAAATGTATAAATCATTTACTCAGTTAATAGTTAATTACAATAATTTAATAGAAAATTAAATAATTTTAATTTTATATTACAAATTAAAAAATACAAATATTTTATAAAAAAAATTAGAAATAATTAGAAAACTTATAATATTGTTAAAAATAATTTTTATATTATTTATACATTTAATTATAATAATAATACTGCAAAAAAATAGTTAATAAAAATTTATTGTTTTAGTCAATTAGTTAAAACATTAATTTTTCAAAAAAATAAAACATTTTTTTCATAATAAAACTAAACTATAATATTAATATTTGTAGATTATATTACGTCCCGGTACTCCTGGACCACCTGCACCTCCCGGACCTCCAGGACTACCTGGGCCTGTGATTATTATATTTTTTAAAAATATATTAATTATATTATTAATAATTAATATATTTTATATATTAAAATAATTAATATATTTAATATATTAAAATAATTAATATATTTTATATATTAAAACCAGTTAAGAATGCTAGAAAGCATTATTAGAAAAAAAAACTTTGACGACATAAATTATTATCTTCGCAAATTAATTGTCAGTTGACTTTAGTCATTTAGTAAAATGACAAAATAAACTAAACTTTAGTCATGTAGGGTATCAAATGATTCAGTATGACAAAATATACTCAACTTTAGTCATGTAGGGTATCAAATGATTCAGTATGACAAAATATACTCAACTTTAGTCATGTAGGGTATCGAATGACTCGGTATGACATAATAAACCAAACTTTAGTCATGTGCGGTATTAAATGATTAAGTATAACAAAATAAACAGCTAAAATCATACTTTGCCGCCATTTTTGAAAAAATAAAATAATAATTTTGATATATTATATCTTATTTTTGATGCTCTAAACAATTCTAAACGTTAAAATTGTTACCTAAAATTTTTTACTTTGGCCACCATTTTCTCTGTTTCTGAAGATATCAAAATTTTAAGGCATATTTCTTATGCTTATTTTTGATGCTTTATTCAAATCTATACTTTAAAAAAATTTTCTTAAAATTTTTTGTACTTTGGCCGCCATTTTTTCTATGTTCCCGAAGATATATCAAAATTTTAATACAACTTTTCAATAGATTATTAGTAGTCCTCTAACCGAATCTGAAGTCAGAATTTCAAAATTCGCAAAATGAAATGCTACACACAGACAGACAGACTCAAAAAGCCATTATAGATTTCAGTAAACAAAACTTTTCAAGTTTTTTTTGATAATTAATATATTAGACTAAAATTAAAACTAAATCTTTAAAAAAAATATTATTTACCCATTCCTGGACCACCCGGACCTCCCGGTTTTCCTGGACTACCGGGTCTACCTGGTTGTCCTGGACCTTTATTTTAAAAATTAATAAATTAAACAATAAATTATTTTTTTTAAATTGTTTTAATTTAGCAAAAAAAACAGGTTATATACGGTATATAATATACCCTTTAATCTGCTGACTCCATGTGCACTGGTAGTCAACAAATTATGAGAAGCTATTAATATTAGTAATTTAATAATAGTTAGCAAACTATTAAACTTCATTTAATTAAAATTTTATTTAAACAAAATTATTTAAATTTTTAATATCTAAATGTATGTAATAAATACAGGTTTAGTATAGTATTATTATTATTAGTATATTTATTTTATTACTTGATATACTGTAAATGTGTTTTTTTAATTTTATATATTTATATATATATATATATATATATATATATATATATATACTGTATTGTTATTTAGTTTTTCAAAAACATATTAATTTTTAAATTTTTTTCATATAAAAAAATAACACAATTAAATGTATTAAATTGTATTAATATTATATTTTTAATAAATACATTAAACTAAACTATCGTTTTATTATTGTATTGTATTATTTATTTGCTATTTTTTTAAAAAATATTTATTCAATTTTTATTATCAAAAAAATTATTGAAAACATATTTTATTTTTACAATATTTAACTGTATATATAATAAAATATTAATAAAAAATATAAAATAAAAAAATAAAAAAGATATTAATAATTAAGTTATATTATTATTATTATTGATAATTATTTTTTAAAAATTATAATCATTATTAACTTTTTAAAAAATAATATACACTTTGTTTATTATATTATTAATCAAAAAATGATTAATTATTAAAAATATGTAATAATATATTTTAGATTGATATTTATTTATTTATAAAAAAATAAATATAAAAATTAAAAATGCATCCAATTTCAGGTGCAATAGATTTTTTAGACAAATTTTTAAAAAAAATGTTTTCAACAAATCTAACATTAATTAATTGAAACAAACATAAAAAATATTTGATAGCTATAAGTGTGTATATTATAAATATTAAATAAAAAAAAATTATGACCTTGATTAAATATATAAGATATTATCAAATCAAGTGCATTGAGTTAATTTTGACCACAATGTACATAATAATAATAATAATCAATATATTTTAATTGATAAAATGTATTTACTAAATAAGTTTATTAAAAAATAGTAATATTTAATCTAATGTATAGATTTTCTAAGTCTCTGTATATTAAAAATTAAAATAAAAATGTAAATAATATGTCTGTTATTTATTTTAATTTATTTTTATTGATAACTAACAAAATTATTATGATATATATATACAGTATATACTTTATAATTAAATATAAGATATAAGTGTCATTTAGTGTAAAGTAATTAGATTTTAATTATGTTATCATTTTTTTATAAACAAAAATAAACTATTAATAATAAACATCAAAATCAATAGTATATAAATAGTTGTAAAAAATGATTAAAAATTATTATATTAATTTAAAAAAATAACAAATTAATAACATTTATTGTTAAATCTTTAATATTATAATTTGTTTTTTTTTAAATAATTTTTATAATAATTAATTATTTTGTAAAAACAAACAAAAAAAAAAATGTTACAACTATTATATTTATTAGTATCGCATCCACTAATTAAATGGACTGCTATTGTATTAATAAGTTTGTATGCAATTTACAGGTAATTATTTATAATAAAATTATTTAATTATGTAATAATAATATTAACTAATTATTTTTTAAAAAAATATTTAACTTTTATTTAAAACTTTTAACTAATGTAGTTCACATTTTCTATCTATTATAAATAGAACAATAATAAAAATAAAATGCTTATAACATTTTAGTTAAATTAATTTATTACAGTTTATAAATAAATATTATATACAATAAAAAAAATAAAAGTACATAATATTTGTACACAATATTATTATTATATAATAATTATAGTAATATTAAAATTATTATTTTTTTAAATTATTAAAAATAATTAAAAACAAACATTTAATTTTTTATTATTATAATAATTTAATTATTAGCAATTATTAGTTATTTATTAGTTAATTAGTTATAGTTAGTAAAATATTTTTAATTAGTATCGAATAAATTATTTATAATTAATATTTTAGTTTTTTTTACTAATTTTCTATTTATTTTATTTTTTTGGATTAAAGATATATTCTATCAAAATGTGATTATTGGGAGAAACAGGGCGTCCAAACAGCATCGGTAGGCCTATGGACTCGTATGACTAGACACGGACACGAATGGGAACAGGATCTGTACCGTCGGTACGGCAAATGTTTCGGTGTCTATGAGCTGAACCGTCCGGTACTCTATCTGTCGGATCCGGTATTGATTCGCGACGTTTTGGTCAAAGATTTTCATAGTTTTATAAACAGACGGGTATTTTACTTATATTTTTTTTTTTAAATATGTTTTATTCATAATTTTTTTAATCAATGGATAACAATATTTATTATTATTTAAAAAAACAAAAATTATTATCTAATCAGTTGTTATGTAACGACAATTTTTATTGATTTTATATACATATATATATATATATAATTAATTTAATTAATAGTCAAATATTTTTTAGTAAACAAATTGTTAAAAAATAATAGAAAATTACTAAATATTAATAATTAACAATTAATTATAGTTTACTAAAACAATATATATATATATATATATATATAATTTTTAAATAGTTGTATTCAATACTTTTTATTAATTAATGATATTTAAAAAAAAATCAAATGATATTAATAATTATTTTTATTATTTAAAAAAAACAAAAACTATTATAATTTTATTAACAAAATTTAATTTAATTAATAATCAAATATTTTTATTTATCAAATTTTTATTTAAAAAAATAGAAAATTACTAAATATTAATAATTAACAATTAATTATAGTTTACTAAAACAATATATATATCAATATATATATATATACAGTATATATATAGTTGTATTCAATACTTTCAATTTATATTAAATTTTTTTTATATAAAAACCTGTCCAGTCATTTGGTACCGGTTCGGATCCATTGATCGACAATATTGTCGGCAATCTTCGGGGAGACCAATGGAAAAGAGTCCGATCACTAATGTCGCCGACATTTACAACCGGAAAACTTAAGCGAATGATGCCATTGATTGGCGAATGTTTGCAAACAATGGACAAAAATCTCCGGTCAGTGTCCGCCGCCGCCAATACTACCGACGGGTCGTCATCACTACCACCACTACCAGTGCTGGAAACGGATATGAAACGATTGTTCGGCGCCTACAGTATGGAAGTCATCATTCAGGTTGCTTTCGGTACTAAAGTCGATGCACTGTTCGATGAGGACAACCCTATCATCCGAAATATACAGAAATTTTTTAGCCGTGACCTCAATCTACGAATGTTGACCTTATTTTTGGCGCCATCAGTGGCCAAATGGTTGAAATTGACCATTTTTGACACGAAAGCGACCAAATTTTTCTGCGACTTTACCGTTAAGATCATTGAAGACCGTAGTCGACGACGACAACAACAACAACGGGAGCTGAAAACTGGTGATAATATTATTACCGAAAAACGGGTCGACTTTTTGCAGCTAATGTTGGACTCGATATCGGAGACCACAACCGATGATAATAAAGATATTACTGATGGCTATCTGGAAAAATATGGACAGTTATCCAATGTTGAACTACTGTCGCAATGTTTGGTGTTTTTTATTGCCGGCTACGAGACAACTGCCACTACATTATCCATAACCACTCATTTGTTGGCCAAGAATCCCGTAGTTCAGGAAAAATTGTTTGAAGAAGTCGACCATTATTTCAAACATAACAGTCAGGTATGTATAGAGTTTAATATATATATATTACTGTGGCTAATAAATATCGAGACAGAATCTTTGTACTAAGTTTTTCTAAAATAATTCGAATATTAGAATGATTTATATTTTTGTTTTAATGTACATATTTTCTATGATTATCACTTATCAAAATAATAGTAGTTTAATATCTTTGTCTAAAAAGTTTTCGGAATTATTTACAAAAATATTTGATAGATGACATTTTAAAACAGTTGTCTTTTTTGATATTTTTATGTTTAAAATAAAAATAAATTTAAACAAGAAAATATTAGATTTACAAAGTAATAATTGATGTTTATTTTTTAGTAAAAATCAGTAAGTTTATCAAATGCTTACAATTTTTAATAAATAATTTTATCTAAAATTAGGTCTAAATTTGTATTCCAAAATAGCACAATTTTAATTTTTAATAATATTTGGTATTTTTGTCAATAATAAAAAATTATTTTATTATCTGCTTAAAAGCAGACAACATAATATAATATTTAATCATTTTAAAAAATTTATTAGAATAATCCAATTTTAATAAATTCCAAAATCATTTTAAAATTTCTTTTCGTTTTTTAGAAATAATTATTAATTGTAATTTTTTGTAATTTTTCATAAATAATTCTTTAATTATCAAAAATTTAATAAGATAAAAATACTTTAATTATTTTATCTGGATTAATAGTTTTTTAAATTTTTATAAATTATACAATTCTAAAAATTGAGGTTACTAATTTTGTAGCATTATAAAACTTTAATTATTATACTATAAAATATTTTTAAAAATTAATAATAATGAATATCTCTATTATTTAATACTATAAAAATATTATTTATAATTATTAAACCGAATGCAGAAAAATCTATTAAGTTTTCATATTACAATTTGTCTCGAAATTTATTTGCCAAAGTAATATATACTATAAATATAAGATTAACAGCACAGATATATACAGGCATATGTATATACCGGTATACTAGAATATGTATATATACTATAATATGTATATATAATATAATATGTATATAAACTGTATATGTATATATATATATATACTGTATATGTATATATATATACTGTATATGTATATATATATACTGTATATGTATATATATATACTGTATATGTATATATATATACTGTATATGTATATATATATACTGTATATGTATATATATATACTGTATATGTATATATATATACTGTATATGTATATATATATACTGTATATGTATATATATATACTGTATATGTATATATATATATACTGTATATGTATATATATAAACTGTATATATATAAACTGTATATATATAAACTGTATATATATAAACTGTATATATATAAACTGTATATATATATCTATCTAACCGTCCCCGCAGAAAGATGTCGACTACGATATACTACATTCCCTGAAATACTTGGACGCAGTTATTATGGAATCGATGAGACTATATCCGGCCGCACCGTTCCTGGAAAGACAGGCTACCGATGACTATACATTGGGCAGCACTGGTATCCAAATCAAAAAAGGTCAACTGATTCACATACCTATCTATGCTATGCATCGCGATGAAGCTAACTTTCCCGGAGCCGACCAGTTCCGACCCGAACGATTTCTGGCCGATAATGTCCATAAACACGATCCGTACGTCTATCTGCCGTTTGGTGCCGGACCTCGCAATTGTTTGGGTATGCGTTTGGCCCAAATGGAAACCAAACTGGCACTGGTCTATGCCGTCTATAAGTACCGGTTCATCGACACAGGGGTACACTATATATATATATTTTAATTTATTATAATTTATATTAATTAACAATTTATATTAATTAATAATTTTGTATTAATTAATAATTTATATTAATTAATAATTTATATTAATTAACAATTTATATTAATTAACAATTTATATTAATTAATAATTTATATTAATTAATAATTTATATTAATTAATAATTTTGTATTAATTAATAATTTATATTAATTAACAATTTATATTAATTAACAATTTATATTAATTAACAATTTTATATTAATTAATAATTTATATTAATTAATAATTTATATTAATTAATAAGTTTATATTAATTAACAATTTATATTAATTAACAATTTATATTAATTAACAATTTATATTAATTAATAATTTTGTATTAATTAATAATTACATAAATAGATTACATGAGTCTAGAAAATTGTACATGGTTATATGGACAATTTATTTATTATTAATAGAAAATTTATAAAAATTTACAGTATTTATAGCTTAAAAACTGATTTACAGATTTATAACTAGAAATTAAATTAATTATTAATTTCTATTATTATTAATTGATTTTTATTTTATTTTACATTCAGAAACCCATTGAATTTTACAACAGTTTAGGTATTATAACACCCAAGAAGGTTATGGTTAGAGTTGAAAAACGGGCATAAAATAAATGGACACCAAGTGATCACCAAAAAAAATAAAATAAAATAATTAATTAATTATTATTTTTTACTGTAATTATTCAACAGCAAAAAATATTTTATTTGTTTATAATTATTGTTTGATTTAACATTTTTTTTGATTAAATTGATTTTTTATTAAAAATATATTTTGTAACTACTTTCTTATATATTTAGTTTTTAAAAGTATTAAAAGTTTTTTTTCTAAAAAATAAAAATCTCATTAAAATATTTTAGTTAGTTTAATTATTTATTATAAAATACTAATTTATAGTATATGTATATATATATAATACTTATTGTTTGATAATTAGTTTAATTAATGTAGAATTTTTAATTGTTTTCAATTATTATGAAAACTATACAAGTTTATACTACTGTATATTGAGCAAGGTTAATTTGTTACAATTTTATAAATAAATAATAATAATTGTTAACACAATAAAAAAATAAAATTAAATAATGTTATTAAAAATAAATAATTTCAATTTATAATTATAATTTTAATAACATAATCACTTTTATTAATTAATTAATATATATATATATTTATATAAAGTATATACAGTATATAATTATTACTTTTTTTAACTAAACTTAATATATAACATATATTATATATATATATTTATATACATTTGTTGGTACAGTAAATGTTTTATAATAATATTTTAGTTTTAATAAAATAAAAAAAATAACAATAATTTGTTTTTTTAATTATGTATTTTGTTAACATACACTTTATATATATTATATATATATACTTTTTATAAATAAAATTTTTAATTAATTCATAATAATTTAATAATAAATAAAACTAATTGTTATCATATTATATACTCCCGGTCTACAGTACAGGACCTACTGGACGTCCAGTAGACGGCCTACTGGGGCGGACTGTAATAGCATTTAAAATATACAGTATATGTGTTTATAAAAATAAAATAAAATATAATTATAATTGAATATATTATTTACTTATAGATCGGTTTCGGTCCAAATTTCCTATGATTTTCAGGATTATCCGTATTATCGGCAGAAAAATCATTGCCACTAATATGATTAACATTGAAATCGGGATCAAGTTTTGCGGCCAATTTGACCGAACCGTCCCGTTTAGACATTACAACCATATTGTTGTTGTTGATGGGTACCGGGTCTAGAGTTGTTTATTTTTTAAATATAAATAATTTTAATTAAAATTAGTTTATTGTTTTTTTAAATAAATTAATAATATATATAATTACAGTATATATATATATTTATTACCTTGATGGCTTATAGATAACAGCAATATAAGCATCAGTAGTAGTATAGTAGCTAGTTGATTTTTTAGCATTATCAAAAACATTAATTAATTTTTATTTATTTTATCTAAAACTACAATATTTTAGTTAAGTCTAATATTAAGATTGATATATATATTTAAATTTATAATAAAATAATACATATATATATATATAGTTTTAATTTTAATTAATTTTTTTACATATAAAATTTTTATAAAATAAATTTTGTAATTTTTGTTTTTAATAAAGTGATTATCAAAAATTAAAAAATAAATTATTTTAATTATTTGTGTGTTTATGAAATAGTTTTAATTGTCTAGACTTTACTAAACTATGTCTTTTATTATACAATAGTTGAAAAAATATAAATTTTAATAAAAATATATAAAAAAATAACTAATAAATAAAAACTTATAAAAGTTAAAATAAAAATTTAAGTTAAAATATTATTTTTTCTAGATACATGGTTATACTATTGATGATTTTGCAATTAAAAAAAAATTTTTATAATTTTTATTAAAAATATATTTAAAAAATGTATAACTCATTGTTCTTAACAAAAAAAAAAGTCTTAAAATATTTAAAATATAAAAAAATAATCAAAATTAAAAATATTAGATAATTAATATCAATTTTACTTATTTATATTATTTAAAAATATTCAAACTAATTTATCTAATATCCCAAACAATAATGTAGTTTAATTATTTTTTAAACTAATATAATATTTAAAAAAACGATTAATAGTAAAATAATGTTTTTACAAAATAAAATTTTTAAAAAATATATAACATTTATTTAGTCAGTCAACTACATGTGATGAATAACTTTATGATAGATATAGATAAGTGATTAAAATTAATATATTTTGTGATTAAAAAACTTTTAAATATTTATAAATACTTAATATTATTAAAATTGTTATGTATTTGTTATTTATTTAAATATTTTGTCTTTTTAAATTTTTTTTATATAAATTTTTATAAATATTTATTTAACCACTAAATAATATTCTGTATACTTTTTTTAAAAAAATAAACTAAAATATTTCCAATGAGTCAATAAAAAATAAAAATCAATAAATAATTGTCATTTAGTATAAAATTCCATAAAATAAAATAAAAATTATAAAAAACAAATAACATTCAAATGATTATTATATAAAAAATTTTTACGAATAAAATTCTTTAAAACTAAAAAAATAAATATTTAATATAATATCTTTAATATTATAATTTGTTTTGATTTGAAAAATTATTTATTATTATTATTTTAATTTTATAAACCCCAACACATAAAAATATGTTACAATTATTATATCTATTAGTATCGCATCCACTAATTAGATTGACTGCTATTTTATTATTAAGTTTGTATTCAATTTACAGGTAATAATAATAAAAAAATAATATTAATAATAATACAAATTTATTGTTATTTTATTTTTAAAAAAGAAATATTATATAAAATATATTTTAATTCTATAGTAGTTTAAATATTATCATTAAATTATATTAAATAAAACTCATTAACTAAATAATAATTAAATTTTTTAAAAGTAATATAATAATATTTTTAGTTTTATTAATACTTTTCTAACCTTTTATTATCTATTATATTAAAAACTCTACTAAAATAAAAATCAGTTAAAATAGATTTTAATTAATTAGTTACAGTTTTATAAATAAATATTAATAATAATAATTATTTATATAAAAATATACATTAATTACATTAAATATTATTTATAATTTATTATAACAGTTATTAAATATAGTTTTTTTTTAAATTATTAATTAACTAATTAATTAATTAAAAAATAATTATTTTTTATAAATTAATTTTTGTATTATTTGCTTTCAAAAAAATATAAAGATATTATCAATCAAAATGTAATTATTGGGAGAAACAGGGCGTCCAGACAGCATCGGTAGGCCTATGGACTCGGCTAACAAAACCGGGACACAAATGGGAACAGGATCTGTACCGTCGATACGGCAAATGTTTCGGTATCTATGAGCTGACACAACCGGTACTCTATCTGTCGGATCCGGTATTGATTCGCGACGTTTTGGTCAAAGATTTTCATAGTTTTGTAGACAGACGGGTATTTTACTTAATTTTTATTTAAAAAATTTTTTTTTATCAATTGATAACAATATTTATTGTTATTTTTTAAAAAAATTATTATATAATGAGATTATGTTGACAACAATTTTATTAATTTTATAAAAAATAATTTAATCAATAGTATAGTAATTTTAAAATAGAAAATATTATTATTATTATTACTTATATTATTTTATATTATTATTTTATATTATTATATTACTTATATTATATTATTTTTTTTAAAAAATAATAATGTAAATAATTTATTACAATTATATACAATATATATTTACTGTATATATATTGATACTGGTATATGTAAAGTAAACGGAAAAAATAATATTAATATTATTATATTTATTATTATTATATTTATTATTATATTTATTATTAAAAAATCCTCCACCAGATAGTTGGCACCGGTACTGATCCAGTGCTCGACAATATGGTCGGCAATCTTCACGGCGACCAATGGAAAAGAGTCCGATCACTGATGACGCCGTCATTCAGTAGCGGAAAAATCAGACAAATGTTGCCATTGATTGGCGAATGTTTGCAAACAATGGACAAAAATCTACGGTCAGTGTCCACCGCCGTCGCCGCCAATACTACCGACGGGTCATCACTACTACTACAGGAGGGGTCGGATATGAAACGATTGTTCGGCGCCTACAGTATGGAAGTCATCATTCAGATTGCTTTCGGTACGAAAGTCGACGCCCTGTTCGATGAGGACAACCCTATCATCAGGAATGTTAGGAAATTTTTTTCAGGTTATCTCAATCTGCGATTATTGGCCTTATTTTTCATGCCATCGGTAGTCCAGTGGATAAAAATGAAAATTTTTGACCTAAAAGTTACCCAATTTTTCCGAGATTTTATTTTGAAGATCATTGAAGACCGTAGTAGTAGTAGTCGTCGACAACAACAACAACAACGGGATCTGAAAACTGGTGATAATATTATCAAAAAACGGGTCGACTTTTTGCAGCTAATGTTGGACTCGATATCAACGGATACAACCGATAATAAAGATATTATTACCGATAAAGTGGACATTACTGACAGCTCAGACATCAATAGTCAGGAAAAATATAGACAGTTGTCGTCGACATCGATGAAGACATCTGTAAAAAGTATGACTTTTTTTTGAGAGAAATTTTATTTTAGTTTTTAAATAAAAATTAATAAATATTTTTTTAAAATATATTTTTTGTTTTTTATCAATAGGTTTATCAATTGATGAACTAATCTCTCAATGCGTACTGTTTTTTGTTGCCGGCTATGAGACAACTGCCACAGTATTGTCGATAACTACCCATTTGTTGGCCAAGAATCCCGTAGTCCAGGAAAAACTATACAATGAAATCAATGAGTATTTCAAACATAATGGACAGGTATGCCATCATTAGTCAGTAAACTATTTAAACAATTAAAAAACCTATATATATATATATATATATATAAATTTATATAAGCTATTCATGAGAGCACAGGTATTCAACAACAAACACATATCCCATCCCTCCTCCCAACCCCTACATCAGTATCCAAGATATCGATGACTACGATATACTACATTCAATGAAATATATATTTATATATACCGTTATATACTGTATATATATATATCAATAGAAAAAGCTACATAAGCTTAACAAATGATATTATAGCACAGGTATTATATAATAATAATGTCTATCCCCTACAGAAACACATCGATGATGATGATGACGATAATGACGACCATTATTTCAAACATAACAGTCAGGTATATATATATACAGTCATAAAATATACTTAAATATATTAGATTAATAGCACAAGTATCAAAAAATACTTTATATATATAGTATATGTATACAGTATATGTATACAGTATATGTATACAGTATATGTATACAGTATATGTATACAGTATATGTATACAGTATATGTATACAGTATATGTATACAGTATATGTATACAGTATATATACAGCATATATACAGTATATTATATACTCTATATGTATATATATATATATACTGTATATGCATATATACTTTTAGGTATTTATATTGTATATGTATTTTAATATATATATATATATAAATAAAAACTGTATATCTATCTAACCGTCCACCACCCCCCCCCCACCCCGCAGAAAGACGTCGACTACGATCTACTATTTTCATTGAAATACTTGGACGCAGTTATTATGGAATCGATGAGACTATATCCGGCCGTACCGTTTCTGGAGAGACAGGCTAGCGATGATTATACACTGGGCAGCACTGGTATCCAAATACGTAAGGGTCAAATGGTTCGCATACCTATCTATGCCATGCATCACGATGAGGCCAACTTTCCTGGAGCCGACCAGTTCCGACCCGAACGATTTCTGGCGGCCAATAATAATGTCCATCACAAACAACACGATCCGTATGTCTACTTGCCGTTTGGTGCCGGACCTCGTAATTGTTTGGGTATGCGATTGGCCCAAATTGAAGCCAAACTGGCACTGGCCTATGCCGTCAATAAGTACCGGTTCATCGACATAGGGGTACAGTATATTAAAAAAAATTTTTTTTATAATAATAAATATATATTTTTTGTATATTATTTATAATAATTAATATTTAGTTATTTTGTTTTGTTTAGTTTCAATATCTATAATAATAATAATAATTATATAAATAGAAATTAAAAATAATTACATATATTATAATTATAACTTTATAACTATAAGAAAAATTGATTGATTGATAAAATTGATTTAATATTTATTTATTTATTTTTTTAAAAACAAAATTATATTATAATCTATTTTCAATTATTATTATTATTATTATTATTACTTATTTTATATATTTTTTGTTTGTTTTTTTTAGAAACCCATTGAAATTGTGGACAGTTTTATTATAATGACACCCAAAAAGGTTATGGTTAGAGTTGAGAAACGGTAGTTAAAAATAAAACATCAAAACAATTAGAGTATCAAAAAAAATTTAATTATTAAAAATTAATTTTTTGTTTTAATATTTTTTTTATAAAATTTTTTTTTTACTTAATACTGAATTGATAATTGTTATAACTTTTAAAATTTTTATCTACACTTACAGTAACTACTGTACATATATTTAATAATAATGTTATTTAAATGTATGAATAGTTAGTATTAAATTTATTGAAAGTGTTATTGTTTTTAAAAACTTTTTGTTTATGTTTTTTTTTAAATAAAATTATTACATAAATAATAATAATATTTATTTAAAATTGATAATAATTATTAAAAAAAAATAAATAAATAAATATATTTTATTTTAATATTAATAATTAGCAAATGTATTTTAAAAGTAAATAGATAATATTTATTCAATAATATTTTTTTAAAAAATAATCATAAATAATACAAAAATAGTTGCTAGTTGAATTTTTGAACATTATTAAATCATAGTTTAAATCAGTTTATTGATTAAAATTTACTAAATAATTTAAACTATAGTTTTAAAAATAACAAAACTATAATATTAATCCTAAATACTATTGTTAAAAACTAAATTAATAAAGTTTTAATTCAATAATTTTTAAATATATTATTTTTTTAGTATTTATATATATAGTCATGCAAATTGTTGTGTAATTTAATTAAAAATAATAATTTACAAATTTTATAAAAATTATAAAAATAATATAGGTAATTTTCCATTACATGATTATTAGAGAATATTTTTTTATAAATTTGTTAATTAAATATTAAAAATCATTTTAATTTTCTAATTTTAATGTTTTGTTTGAATGTCTCAATAAACAATAAGTTAATAATTAATTAAATTAATCAATTAAAGTTAGTCAGCTTATTTTTATTTTAAATTACTTAAATGTGTGTGTATGTGTGTGTATGTGTGTGTATGTGTGTGTATGTGTGTGTGTATGTGTGTGTGTATGTGTGAGTGTATGTGTGTGTGTGTATGTGTATGTATGTGTGTGTATGTGTGTGTATGTGTGTGTATGTGTGTGTATGTGTGTGTATGTGTGTGTATGTGTGTGTATGTGTGTGTATGTGTGTGTATGTGTGTGTATGTGTGTGTATGTGTGTGTATGTGTGTGTATGTGTGTGTATGTGTGTGTGTGTGTATGTGTGTGTATGTGTGTGTATGTGTGTGTATGTGTGTGTATGTGTGTGTATGTGTGTGTATGTGTGTGTATGTGTGTGTATGTGTGTGTATGTGTGTGTAAGTGTGTGTATGTGAGTGTATGTGTGTGTATGTGAGTGTATGTGAGTGTATGTGTGTGTATGTGAGTGTATGTGTGTGTATGTGTGTGTATGTGTGTGTATGTGTGTGTATGTGTGTGTATGTGTGTGTATGTGTGTGTATGTGTGTGTATGTGAGTGTATGTGTGTGTATGTGAGTGTATGTGTGTGTATGTGTGTGTATGTGTGTGTATGTGTGTGTATGTGTGTGTATGTGAGTGTATGTGTGTGTATGTGTGTGTATGTGTGTGTATGTGTGTGTATGTGTGTGTATGTGTGTGTATGTGTGTGTATGTGTGTGTATGTGTGTGTATGTGTGTGTATGTGTGTGTATGTGTGTGTATGTGTGTGTATGTGTGTGTATGTGTGTGTATGTGTGTGTATGTGTTTGTGTGTGTATTTGTTATTGATTGCATATATGCATGAGCATGATATGTCATAGCGTTGAACCGACAAAATAATTTTTTATATGGAAATCAAGACACTAATAATAACACATTATATATATACTTTTTTAACTAATTTTATTATTTAAATTTTTATAAAATAACATTTTGAAATTTTTGTTCAAAAAATAGTGATTATCCAAAATATAAAAAAATAATAAAATTGACATATTTTAATTATGTGCAAAACTGTTTTTATTTGTTTGTGTTTATGAAATAGTTTTAAATGTCTAGACTTTACTAAAACTATATCTTTTATTATACAATAGTTTAAAAAAAATATAAATTTTAATAAAAATATATATAAAAAACTACTAATAAATAAAAACTTATATAAAATAAAAATAATTTAACTTAAAATATTTTTAATAAAATATATTTTTGTATTATTAATGATTTTGCAGTTTTAAAAAAAGGAATTTCATTTTTTTTAAAAATATGTAAAATCATTATAACATTTAACATCAATTATTTTACTTTTCATTAAAACTTACTAACATTTTAATTATTAATATTAATATTATTAACATTACAATACATTTAGATAATAAATTAATTAATCCGATAAATACCTTAATGTATATAATATATGGAAAAAATCATTATTAAGTTTATTTCAATTTAATTAAAAATTTGTTTTTTGTATTTTACTTTTTATTTAAATAAAATTATTAGTGTTTTTTTTTAATTTTTTTTGTTGCTATAATGATAGTAGTAGTATTTGTAGTAAAATTATCTAGATAACAAATTATTAATAATAATGTTAATTAGTATTTTTTTTTAATTTATAGTAAAATTAAAACTATTGGATTAAACTAAATATTATTAAATTATCTGATATTAGTATTTAAAAAAAAAATATTTTAATACTTTTATTAGAAAAATATGACTGCAATTCACTTAAATATTTTTAAAATAATTTATATTATAATTTAGACATTAATTTTAATGTGTTTTTTTTGTTGTCAACCAAAAATTGTTGTCATATTATTTACAATTATTTTTGTCATTACTATTACATTACATTAAACCCATAAATACCTTAATGTATATAAATATATTGTAGAAAAAAAATAATTATCATGTTTACGTCAATTTATAATAAATTATTATTATTATTATTATTATTATTATTATTATTATTATTATTACTATTTTAGTTTTCATCGATAAAACTATGTAACATTTTAACACTATATTAAAAATCATTTATATTGTTATAGGTAGTCAGTGCCATTGCAATGATATACTGATTTAATGTTTTAAAGCTATAATTATTTCAATACAAAAGTGATTTTTTGTTTGTGTTTAAATTTACTAAAGTGAATTTAACACAACGCTTAGTTTTATTTTTATTTAAATAATTATATTTGCAAACCAAGGTTTGCTTAATACTAAACTCTAAAATTCAATTTTAAAAATGCGTTGAAATGTTATAGAGAAAAGTGAATAGTAAACTCCTATTTTTAAGCAAAGTTTTATTTTATTTTTATTTTGTATTTCACAGTTAAAATAATGTATTGAAATGTTATACAGAAAAATGAATAGTTTACGCCCAGACATTAAAGCTGACTCAATACGACCTGATTATTTCTCACGTACACTTTAGTATAAATAGTGGTGTCACTCGGACATCAAAATCGGTTCTCTTCTGAGTTATCAGTTCTCAGTTCTTTTCGGAGATCTCTTCGGAGTTCTCTTGGAGTGCTACAATGTATAACTGTTAATAAGATGAAATAAAAGTATTTGCATATTACTTTGTGTGTATTACTTACTCGTCGCGGCTGGTGGTCTTGGATTGCGTCATGGATTACATTATCGATGTTATACTGATGAAAGCTGACCACAAGAAAGATTACATCATGGATAACATCATCGATTGAGTCATGGAAATACACCATGGATTACGTCATGGATGGCATTATAGATCACATATGGTTTCCTATAGAATACAGTTAACATAAAGGACAGCAATCGAACGCCGCGCCTATGGAAGTCGTCCACGTATTACGTAAGCGAATACTATATAGAAGGGAACTCCGGTACTCTGTCCGCTACACGGTAGGATCTGACCGGTCCGACCAAAACTAGTGTTGACAGGTGATGATGTTGAGTAAACCTTATTATTGAGTAACCTATTATAGGCTATGCAAAAGTAAGCGCTATGATAGGTTAACTCAGATATAGTAATGAGTCACAAGACACATTGGTCAACTGTTACACTGACCACCTGGTCCACTGACCAAGGTCAGAGGTCGAAGGTCAGAGGTCAGAGGTCACATGTCCAAGATCAGGGTCACTTGTCCAAGGTTAAGGTCACTTGTCCAAGATCGTCACATGTCCAAGGTCAAGGTCACTTGTCCAAGGTCGTCACATATACAAGGTCAATGTCATCGATAACTGGAAATCGGGTTTTATGTACTCATGCCAATGGTACTTGTTGGAGACCAGTAGGATAACATGTTTACCAAACAGACCTTAAACTAGACTTTGTACCAATCAGTTGGATATCCGTACGGTAGTATTATCCGGATAGTTTATGCAAGGAACAGCATAAACTAAGACAGTCGGTCGACTAAATACTACACAAATCAACACATATAGCTTTGTACACAACCAGTGATAGGAGATCCGCTCGCTCCTTAAGCCACACACAGATAGCAACGTAAGAGCTTAGTCTATAAGCAATAGTAGGGTTTACATCACGGGTTGTGAACACTAACCTATTGTTCACGTATAAAATATACCCGTGGTAACCCCCACTTCCCTTACAATATTTTTCTAATCAATTTTAATGTTTTTTTTATTTGAATGTCAAAATAAACAAAAAAAAAGTTTATTGTTAATTAAATTTAGTTAGCTTAATTTTTGTATTTAAAGTTAAATATTATATTAAAAGTTAGTTCATTAAAGTAAAGTTAAACTGATTGAAAACTAAAAAATAATATTTAATATTAACATCTTTAATATTAACAATTTGTTTTAATTTGAAAATTTATTTAATTTATAATAATTAAATTTTAAATAATATATTATTTTTTCATTTTGAAAACCAACACAAAAAATATGTTACAATTATTATATCTATTAGTATCGCATCCACTAATTAGATTGACTGCTATTTTATTATTAAGTTTGTATGCAATTTACAGGTAATAATAATAATAATAATAAAATAATAATAATACAAATTTATTGTTATTTTTTAATTATATAAATATTATATAAACTAATTTAATTTTATAGTAGTTTAAATTTAGTTTAAATCAAATTATATTAAATATGTAATAATTAAATTTTATTATTATTATACTTTTTTTTTAAACATTTTATCTATTATATTAAAAACTCTACTAAAATAAAAAGCAGTTAAAATTGATCAAAATTTATAAATAAATATTAATAATAATTATTTATATTGAAATATACAATATTATACATTCAAAATTTAATATTGTACATAATTATTATTTATAATTTATTAACAGTTATTAAATATAGTTATTATTTTAAACTTTCAGTATTCAAATATTAATTAATTAATTAATTATGAAAATGAGTATTTTTTTTTATATATAAATTAATTGTTTTATTATTTTCTTTCAAAAAAAAATAAATAAAGATATTTTCTATATATATATAATTACTTATTTAATAGGAAAATAAAAATTATTATTTATTTAGTAGCAATTATTAGCTAATTATTAGTTAAGTATAATATTTATAATATTAGTTTTTAATAAATTCATTGATTATTTAATTATTTTTTTTTTAAATATTATTAAAAATAATTAAAAAAAACAAACATTTAATTTTAATTATTATCAATTATTAGTTATTTATTAGCAATTATTAGCTAATTAGCTATTAGTTAGTAAAATATTTTTTAATTAGTATTTAATAAAATTATTTATAATTAATATTTTAGTTTTTTTAAAACTAATTTTCTATTTATTTATTTTTTTTTGGATTAAAGATATATTCTATCAAAATGTGATTATTGGGAGAAACAGGACGTCCCGACAGCATCGGTAGGTCTATGGACTCGTATGACTAGACACGGACACGAATGGGAACAGGATCTGTACCGTCGGTACGGCAAATGTTTCGGTGTCTATGAGCTGAACCGTCCGGTACTCTATCTGTCGGATCCCGTATTGATTCGCGACGTTTTGGTCAAAGATTTTCATAGTTTTGTAAACAGAGAGGTATTATTATACTTATATTTTAATTTATTTTCAACAAAACAAAAACTTTAAAAAAGTTTTGTTTTCTGAAATCTATACGAGCCTTTTGTGTGTGTGTGTCTGTCTGTCTGTCTGTAGCATATTTTTTTTGCAAATTTTTGAAATTCTAACTTCAGATTCGGTTAGAGGACTACTAATAATGTATTGTAAAAGTTTCATCAAAATTTTTTTAATATCTTTTCGGGAACATTGCGAGAAAATGGCGGCCAAAGTAAAGAATTTAAAAAAAAAAAAATTTTAAACTATAGATTTGAATAAAGCATCAAAAACAAGCATAAGAAATCTGCATTAAAATTTTTGATATCTTTTCGGGAACATTGCGAGAAAATGGCGGCCAAAGTTAAAAAAAAAAATTTAGAAAAACGTTTAGAATTGTTTTTTAAAATCTAAAATAAGATATAATAGATCAAAATTATTATTTTATTTTTTCAAAAAAAATGGCGGCAAAAGTATGATTTTAGCTGTTTTATACCGAGTCATTTTACAATATGACTAAAATCAACTGACAATTTTATTGATTTTATATATAACTACAAAAATTAATTTATAGTCAAATTTTTTTATTAAACATTTTTTTTTTAAAAAAATAGATAATAACTAAATATTAATAATACATAATTAATTACAATTTACTAAAACAATATATATATATATATTTAGTAGTATTCAATACTTTTTTTTATTAATTTATATTTATTTTATTTAAACAATAATTTTTTTAAATCAAATGATATTAATAATTATTGTTATTTTTATATAAACAAAAAACTATTATAATTTAGTGATCAGATTATGAATGAAAACAACAATAGATTTATTGAATTTATATATAATAAAAATAAATTTAATTAATAGTCAATTAGTTTTTATTAAAAAAAAATTTTTTTTAAATAGAAAATTATTAAATATTAATAATAAATAATTAATTATAGTTTACTAAAATAATATACAGTATATATATATATAGTTGTATTTTTTGTATACTTTTTTCTTAATTTATATTAATTTTTTTTTTATTTTTTTTAAAAAAAAAAATGTCCAGTCATTTTATACCGGTTACGATCCATTGGTCGACAATATAGTGGGCAATCTTCGGGGAGACCAATGGAAAAGAGTCCGATCACTAATGTCGACGACATTTACAACCGGAAAACTCAAGCGAATGATGCCATTGATTGGCGAATGTCTGCAAACAATGGACAAAAAGCTACGGACAGTGTCCGCCGCCGGCGCCGCCGCCAATACTACCGACGGGTCGTCATCACTATCACCGGTTGAGACGGATATGAAACAATTGTACGGCGCCTACAGTATGGAAGTCATCATTCAGGTTGCTTTCGGTACTAAAGTGGACGCCGTGTTCGATGAGGACAACCCTATCATCCGTAATATACAGAAATTTGTATCGCAAGATCTCAATCTACGACTGTTGACCATATTTTTGGCGCCATCGGTGGCCAAGTGGTTGAAATTGACAATTTTCGATCCAAAAGCGACCAAAATTTTCTCTGACTTTACCGTTAAGATCATTGAAGACCGTCGTCGACAACAACAACAACAACAACAGGAGCTAAAAACTGGTTATAATATTACCGAAAAACGGGTCGACTTTTTGCAGTTTATGTTGGACTCGATATCGGTTACGACAACCGATGATAATATAGATATTACTGATGGCTTAGCTGACAATCATGAAAATTATGGACAGTTATCCATTGCTGAACTAGTATCGCAATGTTTAGTATTTTTGAGTGGCGGCTACGAGACAACTACCAATGCATTATCCATAGCCTCATATTTGTTGGCCAAGAATCCCGAAGTTCAGGAAAAATTGTTCAAAGAAGTCGACAATTATTACAAACATAACAGTCAGGTATGCATAGAGTTATAAATACAATATATATAACTTATATATATAGTGTTGGTAATTTTTTCGCAATTCAATTTTTCGATTGCTTGATATTGCGGAAAATTGCGTGAAATTGCTTGAAATTGCGCGCATGAGGGAATGTATAAAAATTAACTTTGTCAACGTTAAAAATTTTTATTTACTATATATTAAGATAATTTACTAATTTTATTATTATTTTTACATGGCTTTTAGATGGCAACATTTTATGATAAAATAATTAAATTTATGTTTTTATTCATATTGCTTTACCATTTTAATTTTGTTAATTTTTAAAAAATTATAAATTGTTCTATGTTACAATTGCGATTTTCGCAATCGAGCTTTTTGCAATTGCGGCAATTTCACGCAATTTCCGACCAATGCAATTGCGCATTTTGCAATCGATACATCACTATATATATATATATATATAATTAACAACACAGCTATATACAGGCATATACAGGCATATACAGGCATATACAGGCATATACAGTATATATAAATATCGACAGTATATATATACGTATATATACAGTATATATATATATATATATATATATATATATATAAATATATAAATTATATACTGTATATGTATTGATACTGTATATGTATTGATACTGTATATGTATTGATACTGTATATGTATTTATACTGTATATGTATTTATACTGTATATGTATATAAACTATATATGTATTTATACAGTATATGTATATAAACAGTATAAATATATATATATATATATATATATATTGCCTTATATTACTAATACTAATATATATCTTTTTTTTGCTTATTATGCAAATTATTTTTAAATTATAAAAATACTGATAAGGTTTGTTATTAAATATAAAATTAATACTGTACATGTAATTTGTACTTAAAAATACTGTTTATGATACATATAGGTTTACGGCATTTTAATACATTTATAATACATTGTAATTAATACTAATTATATTTAATACTATTGTTTTACAATTATAATAGTGATATTTATATTGTGTAGTGTAATACTGTTGTAATAATAATAGTGTTGTGAGTAGTGACTGGTGTTGTGATAATACTGACTGTAATTAATACTGAATATCAATTAAAGGATACTATTAATACTGTTATTTAATTATAAGGTAAATACTGTTTTTCAATACTTATTGTTATTTTGATTATTATAATTATTATTATTATATTTGTTATTATTATTAATTTGTTATTATTATTAATATTGTATAATTACTGTCAGGTAATGATGTATATGTATTGTGGCGCCGGTACTGCCATCTATCGATGGGTACCGACACCACATACAATAGAGTTATAAACGTAATTCCTGTTTTTAATCCCAACGGGACAACCCAGGAGTCACGTGATTAAAAAGTTAAACTTATATTATTAAGGGATAATTACCCGAGTAAACCCGGGAATTATCCCGTCTAAAATTGTTACACTATTATAAATAGGGTTGTAGTCAAACGGGAATATTAGGGAATATTAGGGAATATTAATGGGAATATTAAGTAGTTAAATGTAATGTCTTTGTTATTAATGGGAATTTATATAGTAATGTCTAAGTGAGGGGAACTTATATATTGTAGAGTAAGGCTTGTGTGCACACGACACTCATTAGTGTCGTCTGCAAACAATAAGACCTATTGATTCAAAAGCATATAAATACTGAGGTACTTCTCATTGTAAAGTCACTCAAGTGTTGAGCTAAGACTTAAACTGGTCAGCTCAAGAGCTATAGAGTTTAGACTTTAAACAGTTAACTCTAACAGTAGCTAAAGCTCTGCCTGGACTGGCAGGCCTTTGCTATGCATAAACTTGCATAGCATTGGTCAGCAGTTCCGGGCAGTGCAGGGTTGTTATATTTTATGTACTGATGTATACTTATATTTAATCAATTATTAATAAACAATACTTTTAATTATTATAATGTATGTACCATTATTCGGATTACTTCATTGTGTTAACTGTGATATTAAGGATTACTAAGACTTTCAACAAGCGATCATTGGCGAGATCTATCAGCGGACGGATCTCGGGTTGTGTGTGTCTACTATGGTCCGGGACTAACAGCGCATATAGTGGACAGAAAAGACGGCAACACAACACATTTGGTGGCAGCGTCGAGGATTACGAATTCGTCTAAAATCGGTAGCAATCGACTTAAACGAGTCGGTGCTCACTTTTACTGAAAGAGTGGTGACATTATTAGACTAAACTTTACAACACATTGATGAGTAGACTTTTAAACTAAAGTCACTCTTCATAAATAGGACTTAAAGGTCCAAAAATGATCATAGGCCTGTACACACCGAGGGAATGGTTGTACAGTGCTTTTGTCAACAGAGGATGTCGGTTTAAAAGCTGACACTAATCCTCTGCTCTTCTCACCTTACATGGAAGGAATGAGAGCCTTGGCTTAAATTAGCTGAGGGCTGCGAATGACATGTAATGATCGCTGTGATTGACTTAAACAAGTCAACACCTAACTGAGTTCTTAAACTGGAACTCAAAACCTTACAACAGATGAAGACAACAGATGAAGACAACAGATGAAGACAACAGATGAAGACAACAGATGAAGACAACAAATGAACACAACAGATGATAACGGATAAATACATCAGAGAAAATAGATGTGTGTTTACATCATTTTATAGAACTAGCATATGAACTATGGCTATATTATTTAGAGACGCGTTTAACGCAATAAAATTATGACGATTAATAACTAAAATTTTTGTGACGGTGTGTCGATTTAACCGTCGGTAGAAACACTTGAATATCTTCTAACCTGTTAAACTGGATGAATAAGAATATGAATTTGAAATAAAAAAAAAGTGATTGAGACGGACACTACTTGTTAGGTTATATTTTTAAACGGAAATGTTTTGTGACCACAAACATTTATCAACAAATAACATAACTATAATCTTATATGGACTCATACGGTAACAATCAACGTACAAATAATGCCAAAAATTGTGGCGGTTTAATAATAATTCAACTAATAATTCAGTAAACCTACCTTATTGTGAACCGTCAACTTCTCGAAATAAAAATCAAATCGTTCCGTACTGATAGCGGAAACACTGCTGTTTCAAATAATATTGAGATAAATAAAATATGCACTAATAATGGAAATGATTACAAAGTAAAAACGACGACTATAATCCAAATGCGGATGACGAAAATGATACTACAAATGCAGATGATGTAATAGAATTCTCATTATTAGAAGAGAATACGGAAGTAGTGGACACAGGAGTTGCAGATAAAACCAAATCAGTGAACATTGGATTCGTAAATAACCCGGATGTAAATGAAGTGCCAAATGAATGGCACGTAATGAATAAAACATTATGGACAATTAACCGACAATATATTTATTGGACAAAACAGTGAATTTAATTTCAGTGGACCATTTGGTTCTACATATAACGCATATAACAGATTCAGATGTTCTGTTAGTACATACCGAAAGCTTTTTATTGGACTTAGCTTTGGACAAATAGCAGCATTTATTAATGAATCACAACGACCTATAAACTACAAATTGCAACAGAAAATAACTCACTTTTTAATAAATTATTAAAAACTGTTTAAAATAAGCAGCTAAGGGTAACACAATTGTTTATTACAAGAAATTAAATAGACAGCAAATCTATACTCACACATACACAGCTGGAAAAATTATTACAATTTTTAATGAATGCTATCAAAAATAAAATTTTACATAATTTAACAATTTAATGAGTGTACGCTACGCAACAGGTATCGGATGAGTTTCCGAAAAAATCGCATTAGATGAATTGTCAAAACATAACACAGCAAGTAATAGAAAATCAATCTTTACATTGAGACCAATATTATTATTACAAGTGGAATATAAAAAAGTGTTACGTATTAAAGTGTACGATATAGAAATTACTGGTGATGTCTTCAAACAAACAGAATAAGCATGTGTATTGGTCTCTGACAATAGTTTAGCAGCCGAACACAAAATGGTCGTCACAACGGATTACATAATTTTGTCAGAACTGTATAATACAAATTCACAGACAACTACTTGAAGGAATATTCAAGTCTATCGAAATGATAATCTACTTTAAATGTATTGGTTTAACATCTAGCTCACCAATAAGAAGATAAATTATTTTTTTTTTACTGAACTCATGAAAATGACAAAATCAATTTTAATAATTTGCAAAGAACATTTTTGATTTCATGTGAACTACCATAGTTTACAATGATGACACTAAAACAAGCGCGTGAAGAAGCGGGTAATCGTCATCAAAGACTTCAATTTAAAATTAATTAATTATCTATACTTATTTGATTAATTAAAATTAGATTTTTTTATGATTTAAATATAAATTTAAAAATTTAATAATAAATGTTTTACGCAATTAAATAAATTGTCTCATATTAATCGACATTTAAAATAAATCAAAATTGTTAGACTGTTAAATTAAATACTAATTAAAATTTCTTAAAACTAATAATAATATACAATATCTAAAAGCGTTTATTGAGATTGTATTTATTGAGTTCAGTACATCATGAAATCGAAATAAAAAGTAGCTGGTGATGAAAATTAAAGATAATGATTATTAAACTATAAAAAAAAAGAATGAATAAGGTCTACAAAATGTATTTTAAAATTTATGGATATAATAGAAGATAATCAATAGCAAATCAAAATTGACAAAAGTATTCAAAACTAAATGATCAGTGACAAATAAATAAAGTGACAATAGTGGTAAATGAAGATAATAAAAGATAAAAAGTTACAATTGAAATAATAATTGATAAAATAGTATCAATTTAATAAACAAGTAAAAAGACATCAAGCGTTAATGATAACATTTGATTAAAGATTGCGAAGACAATGGAAAAGACTATTATGTGAAATATTCACAATTCACAATCGATCTATAATAACGAATGAATACAGGAATCAATTAATTCCAGTGAAAAGAGAAATCAATCATAATCACTGAGTTACAACCAAAGATAAGTCAGATGGACAATAAATGGACATATTAAATGATAAATTGACAAATGACAAAAAACATGGAAATGTAATGTTAATAAAGACAACTATGGTCGAAAGACGTTATTAATAAGGTGTTAATCAAGTGATATTAACTGGAAAAAAGGGAATAAAAAAGTAAACAATCTGTCGACATATAGAAAAGATACACTAGAGGTCAAAAGATGAAACAGAAGACAGAAAAACACGACTGATCGACTAACAATAGATTGAAAATCGACATATGTAATCTATGTTCAAAATTAAATAGACACAAAACAATTATTGAAAAATATTGAAAAATGTAATATTACTGAAAAGACAATGGAAGTAAATGAAAGTAAAAAAAAATCAGAAAGTCAATGGATAAATATAATTTATAAAAGTGGTCGACAACTAAAAGGATGACAAGAGATCACCGGAAAAAGTAATTAATGGACTGGTAAATAGAAAAGTGTAAAAAAATTAATTCATTAAAATTAAAAAGTGACGAAAAAGTCAAAAAGAAATATACAAAACTGGATACAGAATATAGAGGTTTTCATTAATGGTTAACTGAAATGAAATATCAACAGAAAGATTAGAACCAATGACGTCAATGGGAACTACTGTCGAAAGGTGTTGTAAAATAGTCAACAATAAACAATTAAAAAAAGACTGAGGGAAATGTAGCAGTCATTATGTATAGTGATGTTCTAGAATCAATGAATAAAAAAATAGACAAAGAAATCAAATAAAATTAACTGTGGAAAAACTAAAATAATTATCAGACACAACGGATGATAGAAAATAGTCAACGAAAAATTCAATAAACTAAAATAATAATGTAGTAAATAAATTAATAAATTACAAAATAGTTACAAAATACTAGAATATACACAATCATTAGAATTAAAATTGGACAATAGAGAGATAAATAATTTACAGTTTGTAAATTCACAGACATCACAGATGTACACAAGTATAGTCGACAGCAGTCAGTAGATAAGTGATAGAAGATAAAAACACATGCTGATAATTTTCAAGAAAATAATCGATTAAAAGGAAAATTAAATAAGATACTCCGCATCTGGAGGGATAAATATTGCAATATAAAGATAGCTGATTGGACCACTTGAAGAAATAAATTAAAATAAAGGATGGATTTCTAAAAACGATTAATTAAATTTTACTGAAAAATGTTCAGATACTACATAATAAAGAGTGATGTATGTATATGGTTGATGGCATCAGCTGAGTAATTGGTACCAATGGAGATTATGGATTAATCTCAAGGAAAAGTTGTGAATGGAGTCAAAGCAAATTACGTCATTGTACGTCAAGTTTATATTGTGTCTTTTAAGTTAATTAAAATTGAATAGCACGATAAACTTATTTTAGTGGCCACTGGTAATGTCGGGGACATTGAGTAAAATCAGGGATAGATTTTACTGAAGCAAGTTCATTGTTATTTGAATGTCGTTGAAAGCAATTATAAAATAATTAATCACACTTAAAACTTATTCAAATTTATTAAATTGGGACCCAAATGAAAACAAAATTATAACTAAATAGACAATTTAAACACAGTAAGCAATTCAAATACTAAATTATGGAAACGACAGTTTAAATAAGAAAAGTTTTAATCATATCGGATGAATGGACTTGGGATTTGGAAGAAAAAGTCATGGACTTTAAATTGCTTTGAGCTCAACAAAAACTAAATAGACTCCATTACACTTAAGATATAGACGGTTTGATTGACTTCCGTCTGGGATAAGGCCTTCTGTATGTTTCGTTATCGCATTAACGAATCACGTTATACAGGTTATGCTCATGACTGAGCATGTGTTTGCAAACGGTTAAGGAAGGGCTCGTAGTTTCAATAGACAGAACTGATCACTCTGTTATTGAAACCATATTTTAAAATAAAACTATTAACAAATTTTATTATGAAAACATACTCAAAAATGCTGTACGAAGAATAAAATAATTTAAAGATAAACGAGAATTAACTGTATTGAGCCGTACAGTGATGATAGGATTGACAATGAAAGGTTAACAAAGTTAAAAATATTTTAAAATAAAACAATATACAAATATTATAATGAAAACAGCTGAATGATGATAATGAAAAGCTTTTACAGAGAATACAATGAAAACTTTAAAATTAAACAAGAATTAATTGTATTGAGCCGTACAGGGATGTCAGGATTGACAATGAAATGTTAACAAAGATAGAATAGTCGACATTCTTGATGTTAAAGGAAATAACATAACGAAAATAAAGACTTATTACTAAATGTAATCAAATAAATAAAGAAAAGATAACTATTAACTATAAGGAAAAGGACAAGTAAAAACAATATAAATGGTCGTTATTGATATACTGGGGGACGCCTTAGCATTCAATGACTGATTGGATAAAAAAGAGACATATGAAAAGCATAGGATCAAGAACGAAATAGGAAATATCAAAAAGGAAAAGTCAACAACAATAAGATCAACAATAAAGGATTAGTCAATGCGGTCTTAAAGATGATAACAATCAAAGGAAACATCAGCTGACAACGCGAGGGGATGGTTGTTTCTGAGGACAGAAACGTTTTAAAGTGAGGGGAAATGCCTTATATTACTAATACTAATATATATCTTTTTTTTGCTTATTATGCAAATTATTTTTAAATTATAAAAATACTGATAAGGTTTGTTATTAAATATAAAATTAATACTGTACATGTAATTTGTACTTAAAAATACTGTTTATGATACATATAGGTTTACGGCATTTTAATACATTTATAATACATTGTAATTAATACTAATTATATTTAATACTATTGTTTTACAATTATAATAGTGATATTTATATTGTGTAGTGTAATACTGTTGTAATAATAATAGTGTTGTGAGTAGTGACTGGTGTTGTGATAATACTGACTGTAATTAATACTGAATATCAATTAAAGGATACTATTAATACTGTTATTTAATTATAAGGTAAATACTGTTTTTCAATACTTATTGTTATTTTGATTATTATAATTATTATTATTATATTTGTTATTATTATTAATTTGTTATTATTATTAATATTGTATAATTACTGTCAGGTAATGATGTATATGTATTGTGGCGCCGGTACTGCCATCTATCGATGGGTACCGACACCACATACAATAGAGTTATAAACGTAATTCCTGTTTTTAATCCCAACGGGACAACCCAGGAGTCACGTGATTAAAAAGTTAAACTTATATTATTAAGGGATAATTACCCGAGTAAACCCGGGAATTATCCCGTCTAAAATTGTTACACTATTATAAATAGGGTTGTAGTCAAACGGGAATATTAGGGAATATTAGGGAATATTAATGGGAATATTAAGTAGTTAAATGTAATGTCTTTGTTATTAATGGGAATTTATATAGTAATGTCTAAGTGAGGGGAACTTATATATTGTAGAGTAAGGCTTGTGTGCACACGACACTCATTAGTGTCGTCTGCAAACAATAAGACCTATTGATTCAAAAGCATATAAATACTGAGGTACTTCTCATTGTAAAGTCACTCAAGTGTTGAGCTAAGACTTAAACTGGTCAGCTCAAGAGCTATAGAGTTTAGACTTTAAACAGTTAACTCTAACAGTAGCTAAAGCTCTGCCTGGACTGGCAGGCCTTTGCTATGCATAAACTTGCATAGCATTGGTCAGCAGTTCCGGGCAGTGCAGGGTTGTTATATTTTATGTACTGATGTATACTTATATTTAATCAATTATTAATAAACAATACTTTTAATTATTATAATGTATGTACCATTATTCGGATTACTTCATTGTGTTAACTGTGATATTAAGGATTACTAAGACTTTCAACAAGCGATCATTGGCGAGATCTATCAGCGGACGGATCTCGGGTTGTGTGTGTCTACTATGGTCCGGGACTAACAGCGCATATAGTGGACAGAAAAGACGGCAACACAACACATTATATCTAACTGTATATCTATCTAACTGTATATCTATCTAACTGTATATCTATCTAACTGTATATCTATCTAACTGTATATCTATCTAACTGTATATCTATCTAACTGTATATCTATCTAACTGTATATCTATCTAACTGTATATCTATCTAACTGTATATCTATCTAACTGTATATCTATCTAACTGTATATCTATCTAACTGTATATCTATCTAACTGTATATCTATCTAACTGTATATCTATCTAACTGTATATCTATCTAACTGTATATCTATCTAACTGTATATCTATCTAACTGTATATCTATCTAACTGTATATCTATCTAACCGTCCCCGCAGAAAGATGTCGACTACGATATACTAAATTCCCTGAAATACTTGGACGCAGTTATTATGGAATCGATGAGAATATATCCGTCCGCATCGTTCCTGGAAAGACAGGCTAGCGATGATTATACATTGGGCGGCGGCGGTAGCACTGGCACTGGTGGTATCCAAATCAAAAAAGGTCAACAAATTAAAATACCTATCTATGCTATGCAACACGATGAGGCCAACTTTCCCAATGCCGACCAGTTTCTGCCCGAACGATTTCTGGCCGATAATGTCCATAAGCACGACCCGTACGTCTTTATGCCGTTTGGTGCCAGACCTCGCAATTGTGTGGGTTTACGATTGGGCCAAATGTTTGTGAAACTGGCACTGGTCTATACCGTCTATCAGTACCGGTTCATCGACACAGGGGTACATTATACAGTATATATATTGATATATATATATATATATATATATATTGATATATATATATATATATATATATTGATATATATATATATATATATATATATATTATAATTTATTATAATAATTTATATTTATTAATATAATTTATATTTATTAATATAATTTATATTTATTAATATAATTTATATTTATTAATATAATTTATATTTATTAATATAATTTATATTTATTAATATAATTTATATTTATTTATTAATAATTTATATTAATTAATAATTTATATTAATTAATAATTTATAATATATAGACTACATTAGTTTTTCTAGAAAATTGTACATGGTTGTATATGGACAATTTTTTATTATTATTATTATCAGAAAATTTATATTAATATATAACTTTATATATATATAGCTTAAAAACTGAGATTTGTATGCAATTTGTTATTAATTTGTTATTTTTTTTATTTTATTTTTTTCAGAAACCCATTGAATTTTACAACAGTTTGGGTAGTATGACACCCAAGAATGTTATGGTTAGAGTTGAAAAACGGCCATAAAATTTAATAGACATCAAGTGGTCACTGATTATCAAAAAAAAATAAAAAAAAATATAAATATATTTAATTATTATTTTTCTATTTGTAAACAATTATATATTTTATTTGTTGATAATTATTGTTTGATTTAACATTTATTTTGTTGATGAAAATTTATTTCAATTAAAAATATATTTTCTAACTATTTTCTTATATTTTTATTTTTTTTAAATAATTATAAAAAAATTTTTTAAATAAAAATCTCATCAAATATTTTTAATAATTATTATTTATTATAAAAATAATTATTATAAGTATAGTATCAAATACTTTCTTTTATTTAAAAAAAAGCAAAATATATTATAATACTTATAGTTTGATTTGTATAGTTTAATTAATGTAGAATTTATCAATTAATCAAT